GTGGTCTCACCAGGGCAGAGGAGAGGGGCAGAAGAACCTCTCTCGACCTACTCACCACACCCCTTCTAATACACCCCAGGATGCCATTGGCCTTCTTGGCCACGAGGGCACGTTGCTGGCTCGTGGTCATCCTGCTGTCCACCAGGACCCCCAGGTCCCCTTCCCCTACGCTACTCTCCAACAGCTCAGTCCCCAACCTATACTGGTACATGGGGTTGCTCTTTCCCAGCTGCAAGACTCTACACTTGCCCTTGTTGTATTTCAGTAAATTTCTCCCCGCCCATCTCTCCAGCCTGTCCAGGTCTCTCTGAATGGCAGCACAGCCTTCTGGTGTGTCAGCCACTCCTCCCAGTTTTGTGCCATCAGCAAACTTGCTGACAATGCACTCTGTTCCCTCATCCAGGTCACTGATGAACATACTGAATAGTACTGGTCCCAGTACTGGACTCCACTAGATACAGGCCAAAAGGCCTTTCATTAAAGGCCTTTTGTTATACCTAAGAAACAAAAGTGTGGGTGGGGGGGTAGCCCTTCTTGTAAGTCTCACAAAAGCTAAGCCAATACTCCTAATGATATTCATGTAGTACTTTGGGTAAAGTCATTACATTTACTCAAAACAATTACTGCCATCAACAAAACGGAAAACTACTCTTTCACAACACTCGACCAAAAAAAAAAAAAAAAAAAAACCACCAATGTTACAGCACATTTTATTACAGCATTCCTTTTACAAAGGAGCCTTTCTGAGACTCTCAGAACTCAGCTTTAATAAAGTCACATGGTGTATAGGGTTCTGTCATCAACTATGTCAACACTACACATATGAAAACATAATTTATTATACTGGTGCATAAGTTGACCGAAAATTAGATGCGCACTAAAACCTGCATCTAAGCAGCTGCAGATGGAAAAGCTCAAGGAGATTAAATCCCTTTCCCATGGTTATCTGTTGAGACAGCACCAAAACAAAAACCTCTGACCAGCCTCTATGATTATGCTCTTTAAGGTTTCTGCACTGCAGAAACTGTCTAAATAAGGGACAGACTGCATTACTTAACCCAAATGGTTACTCAGTTTTCCAAACCACCAGAGACTTCTCTATTAAAATTTCAGTATACCTGAGTTGCAGATCTGGTCTCCCACAACGTTACACTGGCCTGAAACTGGGGAAACTAAGGAAGCTGAGGAGGGCCAATAAGAATTAGGACAGGAAGAATTGGTACCTGTCCACAAAGTAATTCTTTCCTTCCTTCATCTCATCCTGAGTACCTGGAGTCGTCTCAGCCTTCCACTTCTCAACAGAGGCACAGAATGTCTGTTCTCAAATGAAGTTTTTATAGTAGGATGTGACATTTTTCATAAGCCTAGCTCCTGCTTCTTTGCAGGAAACAAATAAATACAGTCCAAGCTGGGAAAACACTGCTTAAATATTGAGGCCAGCACTCAAAGAACTTACGTGACCTTAAGAAGAGCCAAATTCCATACCAAAAGCAAGTAGTAATTACCTTGAATAAGCTGGTTCTTAGTAGCCATTATCTGAAGCTTTTTAACTACATTGAATACTAACATGTATGGACTGCTAACCATTACTATGTTGTTCTTGAACTGCTGATGTGATTTCAAATGTATAATGGGGCTGGATTTTGTTGGATTTGCCTCACTGCAGCAAACACTGCACTAGAAGTGAAGAAGTGGATAAACTTAAAACTGCTGTTTGGCAGAGAATGGGCAGTCAAATGTTCCTGCAGGCTATCATTAGTCAACTAATTCATGTCTGTGCCTGCATCAACATGTCTGAGATGTCACTATGGAACCTTGGAGTCTTGGCTCCTAACTCAGGGATATCGTAGGATCGCAGGACAATTTGGGTTGGAAGGGACCTCAGTTCAACCTCCTGCTCAAAGCAGGGTCACTATGAGATTAGACTCAGTTGCTCAGGGTTGTGAAAACCTCCAAGGATGGAGACAGCACAATCTCTCTGGGCAGTATGTTCCAATGCTTACTTTTCCTCTTCATCAGTAAGTATTGAATGCATTAGAGTAAAACAGAAGCCTCCCTGTTACAAGTGATTTCACTCCCTATCAGGTACACTATGTGAATGAGACCCAGCAGGCCAGGCCAGTAAGAAGGTATCAAAACCAAAATTATTTACATACTTTTCAGCCAATCTGAATTATGTGCCAAACAGTTGTTCTTTTCAAATCTCAAGGAAAAGTGCATAAAATTATGTCTTTTAAACAAACTGCAAAGTTGACCTAAAATTACAACCCATGTACTAAAGGGCTGACCAGCTGTAGAAGAATTTCACAGTACAACTTCCCAGGAACAATTAACTAATTTTGAAAGAGAGAGGAATAAAATTTGTCAGAAGAAAAAAAAAATCTGCAACAATCCAATGTACTCTTAAAAAACATCAACTAAGAACGTCCGTGATCCACAAGCAAAACCTGAAAGACAGGGACAAACCAATTTAATCTTACCTCAGCCTCACAAAGTGCCTGAAGTCCCTGTAACACTATGGCAGCAGGTGAAGCTTGATCAGGTTTTGTGCACTCATTTAACACCTGGGAAATTGCAGCCAACATGTCTGCTCCATGCTGGTATGGCCTAAAGGAAAAAACATGAAGGTACAAGGCAATATTCATGCATACACACAAGTTCTATTTTAGACACTCTCATTTTCTTCCAAATAATTTCTAAATGCACGAAGAACGTGCATACACCTGAAATATAACTACACCATTTACCTGGCCAAAAGAATATTATAGCTGCATTGAGATTTATCTCTTGCTTTTCACTTTCTTTAATTTCTTGAAAAATGCTCTTTGGCAAAATCAAAGGTTGATGAGGTAAAGGAAAGGGTATTTTCTTGAAGAATTTTTTTTAGTCAATGATTTAAAAATACATGAATCTTTCCAGATATTAGTAACTCACTTTCAAGAAGGAAGGTGAAAAGTAGAACCCAAAAGATAATTGAAAAAGAGAAAAGACAGCATTGTGCACATAGAATCATGAAGTAGTTGATGTGTTTAAAAACAGTCATTACAGAAAGTATAAATTATTATCAAGTACTGATATTCATGGATTATTAGAGTTGGAAAGGATCAATATATCATCCAGTTAAGACTTGTGTGATGGTGTTCTGTGGTCAGTATTAAATATGGATAAAGACCAGTAATTTGCATGTGACAAAACAGACTTTTCAGAAAAGCACTCAATCTTCCTTTGAATACATCAAAAGATGGACAGATCACTAGTTGTTTTTTCTAATGTTTCATCACTTTTTTTAATTTGGAAGTGGCATACTTTAAGTTTGTACTCTGGATCAGTACAGGATGTACGTTTTGTTTCAAGAAGAAGAGATTAATTTTAACGTTGTGTTTTCTATTAGTTACAATAATAAAACTCAAAACTTACTAGCTGCTGAGATTAGCAATGCCTGAGTCAGTATCTCATGCAGCTAGGAAAATAATGTCCACAATTAATATAACAGAGTAGGTAAAAATAATTATGCAGCTTTTCTGAAAAACAAACAAAAAAATTGTCTTCCCTTACAAAGATGTTAAGATGGATAACGCTTGTGCTTACCTCTGCCTACATATATCTCTTATACAAGCAGCTTTAGCAATCAGCTTCTCCCATTGAGCATCTTTGTCAACAGACAAAGAGGGCTTATCAGACATTGCCAAGAACTTCTGCAATTCTGGGTAAATTCGATCCTAGGAAAGATTTAATTTAAAAATTACCCTCACAACTTCAAAAGCTGGTGACAGCATTTTCAATTGCTAGCACTTTTACATGACTGCTACATACCACTTTTACTGCATACCATACTTTGCTTTTCTTCATTATTGGAATCTAATGCTGCATAGAGATCTAACTGGCTTTTGCAGACCAAATCTCTATTGCTACTCTATAAAGAGAAGCAAATTATTGCCATCTGAGGTCATGCTCTCACTGTACACTATGAAAAGTAGAAAGCTGCCTTTTAAACCATTTTTTTTTTCCTCATTCCAGTCTGAGAGCTGTTGAAATAAAAAGCAGGTTTCATGAAGCACATAATACTGAAATTTTTCACTAAACCAAAATCAATATAGGCACCACTTCCACCATTTACTTTATATTGCTGATAATGAGATACTAGTATAAGCAATGTTCCAAAATTAATTTTCTTCCCTGATTAGAGGTAATGAAATTTTTCAACTACACTTATCTTAGTGACACTACAAGAATTTTCTAACCTGTCTTTCCCATAAGGACGTCATCAGCCGCAAAGTAATTGCTCTAAGCTTTGGGGTGCTCCCCAGCATGTGTATGGCACGTAGAATCTGAGCTACACAAACCTGAAAGAAATTTTTAAACCATATGTCACAGTTATTTTTTATGTTTAAGAACAAAGACCAACCCACAAATCATTATTTCACAACGAAGTACAACAAGAAGATAACTGCCTAACTGCAATGTCAGAAAGAAACTGGAAGTCATTTTCTGAAAAAAATTAGTGCATGAGTCCAAGAGCAGCTTCTTATGATATATATATAAAATGACGATACAGTGAAGAAAATAAAGCCTAATGTACATTTCATTCCTTAAAACGTCATATCCCATCCAAAATATTAGAAAGTTATGCCGAAGCTTACAAATCTGTTACTTTAAGCAAGCTATGCATTGCTCAGTCTGAATCTTCTTTTTAAACAAATTACTTATTAACACAGTCTTTGTTTTACTAAAAACTTTTCATTCTGACCTTGTGTACACCCAGTGTAGGCAATGTATATAATATATCCCTGTAAAGTGCAGGCTCCAAAGGTCTTCCCAATTTAAACATGAGAACTGGGATCAGATTTGGGACCTAAAATAAAACAAAAGCAGGAAATAAACTTGGAACTAATTGTCAGCATGGTATCTTACATAAGACAGTGAACTGCTCAGAACATATTAGAAACTCCTACCTTTTTGCATTATTTTTTCTGTTAAGAGGAAAGAGAAAGGAAAATTCTAACGTCTGTAACTTCATAGGATTTACAGTTTATTTTGAAGTTATCACCTTAAAAGCACTTTGTTATGCATGTTCAGCTGTAACCACTGCAATAATCTAATTTCCACAATAAATTAATTTTTACTTGAAATTCCATTACAGGCACTCCAAAAGGAACACTTAACTGAAAATGGTACATTAAAATACATACCAAATCAATGAAGAAATATTCCAATTCAGTTCTGTCATTACAGAGGAATTCTGATGATACTACTATCATATCCCACAAACCTGTCATATAATACAATACAATTTACTGCATTCTTTAATATATGGTACAAAACTTCCAGAGAGCTGCCCCCGAAGTGACAGTGAAGGAAAGGAGACCTAGTTACCTCCATCCTCCTTTTATTTAGATTAGATCTTCTGTATTTTCATACCTGCAGGTCCTTCACTTTTTTCTTGTGTAGATTCATATCACTATGTTGTAAAATTAAATCTACTCATGCTGACCTTGCTTTGTTTTCCCCACTTGATTTTATGGGTACTTAAAAGTAATTACACAGCACTGGTTTACATTCTGCCTTTATACAGCAGTTATGATTTTCGCTTAGCCACATGTGTTAGTCTTCCACACATAAAACTCCTGCTAAAAGATAATGTCATTCCCAACACAGAAAAGCTAATTAGGAAATTTGGTATTTAGCAGTAGCAAGTAGACACAATAATTTTTGAGTCTTCTGGCTTTCAAAAAACTATTTTCCTTACATGGTAAATGGAGGATAGAGTTCTCCATTTCACTTTTAGTGCTTACCTTTGTTGTGAATCACCCTTGGAAGAGGTTTTTTTTTCCTCTTTAACCTCAAATTACTGTACCTTCAGAAAACTCACTTGGTAAGTGGAGGCTTAAAGCACAAGAACGAATGTGTATTAAATCCCATACATGGGCTGAGCTAAACGACCGAGCAACTCTCAAATCCAATGTTCACAAGATTGGATCCCATCTTTAATTTGACAGTCTTACACCTCTGAAAATTTATCCTGCTAAAGCTGACCCTTTACATATATATGGGTGGTTTATACATACAGTGGTTCAAGAAACAGTTAATGAGAAATTCTGCTAGAACTTTCTCTCAGTACGCATTTTTACATGAGCAGGTGTCTTCAGATGATAAAATTTTTCATTGCACAAAGGCCTATCTCAGTCCACAGAAACTACAGAGCAAGATTAATGAATAAAAATCCAAGAGCTCTGGGATTTTGCATACTTCCTTCTGTAATTACTGGTTCCAGATTACAGATGAAAAAAATAATGTTTGTTCTATATGACATCACTGCCTCTACAGTTCATCAATCCAAATTTGTGCTTCCACAAGCTTAAAAGCTTTCTTCTGGAATCTGTAGTTAATACCTACAGAATTAATTATAATACATTATTTTTTCTGGTTTTCCAAACACTAATTGACACTCTTAAATAGAATAAAACCCTTTATAAACCAAAATTTCCCCACATTTTTGACTAACTGCCTAGTCTCCCTCCCTCTCTTTATTTCCCAAGGTTGCTGTCTACCATCTGTAGTCATCACCCCATCACCTGCCTAGGCAGAGGTCTGGCTTTGCTGTAAATCTTTCAAAGCAAAATGAGAAAAGTGGATGAGAATCTAAGGTAGTATTGATTTGAGCAAACTTTCACACCCAGAAGCACTTTCAATACAAGTTTAACAATGCCTTGCTTTCCCACCTTTTCATTCCAAACTGCAGTCTCCTTAGCTAGAACCCTCCCTCCCTCCTCTTTCCTTCAGATCTTTGGATTAAAGATAAAGCTTTTGTCTGGAATAGAGTGAAGTTTTCTTTATGGTAGCTTGTATGCGGCTATGTTTTGGATTTGTGACCGAAACAATGTTGGTTACACAGGGATATTTTAGCTATTGCTGAGCAGCATTCACACAGCATCAAGGCCTTCTCTGTCTCTCACACCACCCTGCCAGCAGTGGGCTGGGGGTGCACAAGAAGTTGGGAGGGGACATAGCTGAGACAGCTGACCCCAACTGACCACAGAGGGATATTCCAGACCATGTGACGTCACGCTCAGCAACAAAACTGGGGGAAGAATGAAGGACTTTGAGAGTTATGGCATTTATCTTCCCAAATCACTGTTATGCATGATGGATCCCTGCTGTCCTAGAGGTGACTGAACACCTGCCTGTCGATGAGAAGTGGTGAACAAGTTCCTTGCTTTGCTTTGCTTGCATGCATGGCTCTTGCTTCACCTATTAAACTGTCTTTATCCCAACCCATGAGTTTTCTCACTTTTATCCTTCTGATTCTCTCCCCCATCCCATGGGGGCGGGGTGACGAAGTGGCTGCATGGGGCTCAGCTGCCTGCTGGTGTGAAACCACAACATGTACAAATTAAATTTTCTTAAGTTATCGTTTACATAAAAACTAAATGGCAGATAAGCAAAATAGAAATAAGGTACCAGAGATACCGATGAGGCAGGACCTGTCAAGCTGAAACTTCCTATGAAGCACAAATATTTCAAAAATAATATTCAAACCTCCCATTATACACACATAGTAACTAGTTTTCCAAATAAAAGCCGTAGGAGAAAGAGTTCTTCCATTAGATGAATCAAAAATTTTTATACAGCAAAAATGTACACTGCAAATGGGTTAATTAAACATGTTGTCTTACACATATCACAAGACTTAGACTTACGCAAACAGAAAACTGGAAATCTGTACATGATTTTATAGGAACCCAGGCTGCAACTGTAGTTTCAAAAGCCAGTTTAGCTTTTCATCTCAAGCATTCCTCTTTTTTTTTCTTCGCAGGGGTTTTTCATTTTGCTTCTTCACTCCCAAAAGCTAAATTTATAATAAACACCACTATTATGTTAAAGCTAAGGGTAAAACAGATGGACCATCAAGGTTTAGTTTTGTATCACATTCTGCAGTGCCTTGCTCCAGCGTAAACATTCCCATAGCATTCTTAACTAGCAGTCTCCCAGGTCAACCTAACAGCCTTGCCTCAGTAGACCAAAGCAGCGGAGACCGTTGTAGAGAGAGATAATTTCAGTGTATTTCTAAATTACCATTAACTGTATGAAGCCACACCAACTTTGCAACAATTCATGGCAGATTATGCGATGGATACCACTCCTGTTGATTAAGTGGCCATAAACATGACTTACACCAGAACAGTGGTGGTTCTTTGCAAGTTGCTCTGAAATTATCAATCTGCTTTTTTCTCATCAAAAACTTAACTCATCCAGAATAAACAGTCTTATAGAAGAAAGGCTAAAATACAATGAGAAGATACTACTTCTGAGAGTAACATACTCCGCAAGAAGCAACACACCTCATGATTCTTAGATTCTCTCAAATTTTCTCATATGACAACAAGCAAGAACCTTTTAAACCCCAGATTCCTTTCAGACCTATCACACGGGTCTACACAACACAAATCAAAGGACTAAGTCCACATATAATCCACCTCACAGCATCACCTTGGAACAGAGCTTTAAAGTAATTTGGAGAAAGGAGGTCCTCAGTAATTCTCTGAACTACCTTTGTTCTCTGTTCAAAAAGAAGTCTTTCCACCCCGACCCCCACCCCCCCCGCCTCCTACCTTTATTTTCATCACAGCTTGACTGCTATTTCAGACACGCATAGCAACTGGGAACTTTCTTCCCTATTCCACTCTCTGGGGGCTTCCCTGAATTCACCTTTTTTGGGCCTTTATCAGCACAATCCCCCTAGCTTAAATGTCTTTGAAATGCTTGGTCACACTTCCAAGACCATCATCACAGTATTTTATAAATCCTGCATCATAACGAGTATTCCTTGTTACCATGATAGATGGAAGCAGTTTTATTTCTGGGCACCTGTTGTACTGTAAGTGTTAAGAAAAAAATAAATGACCTGATTTACTGTTACCTAAATCTTTCAATGATATAAGGTAAATCATAGGGCGATGAGCAAGGAATGGACATTCCATACCTCCGAGGTGGCAATCATTAACACAGCAACCTTCATCACCATTTTAAATCCCAACATCATCAGGGAGGTCATGTGTGCTCCTCCAGTGAGATATGTAAGTTTTCCACACAATTGTTAATGCAATGTGCAAACAGGGAAGAAATGTCTTCTGATAATATTATCCAGAAAGTTTTGTATGTAGCAGCATGGATGGAAGACTCTCAACTCTGAGGGTAAGAGGGTTTTGTTGATTCTTTAAACCATAGCCATCCCTGATAAATGCTGTCATTGGTTTCCCCTGTGCTGAACAAAAAGGCTACATAAAACATCAGCAGAGAAGTCAGATTATGTCATTACAATGACCAGACTCCTTACCTAAGTTCCTTCCTTCCCTTCTCTCCCCACAGTGCCTCTTCCTTTTGCCAGAGGCAGGGTCTTATGGAACTCATTTGGTCTTAAGCTACTGCTGTATTCAATAGGCCACTTCCTGCATTCTTCTCAGTTGTAGCTACCTTGGACTATGCATATGGCAATCGGACTGAATGGCATTCAAAATAAATTATAATCAAAATAAATTATATTCATAATCCTTAGTTATAAAAGCATTCAAACCCTTTAAAGTTGCTCTTCTCAGTCCCAGCCTTCATCAGCTGGGATGAGTTCATTCCAAGACCTGTATCAGCATTAATTTTCTAATTACAAAGTTTATTCTACAATAAAGAGGTATTAAATTGAAGTTCAACGATGACTTTTACACTAATATCTAGTAAACAGATGCTAAGCTCAGCTTTAAAAATTCTCAGGAAAAGATTAAGCATGTGCTACTACAAGGCCAGTTACATACTTCCTTAAACATATTGTCCTTTGAAGTGTACTTGTTTTGAAATGTATAG